TTCTCCCAGCGTTCTCCAGTTAAAATTGTACTAATCTTCCAAAATTAGCTCTGAAACACTATGAAGTCTTCTTTGACTCAACCAGCTATTTGATCTTTTAATTCTGCTTTCATTAGGATTTCCTTTCTGATACTTTTGACATTCTGCCATTTATGGTTTTCAGATCTTTTTTTTCCACACTCCATTGTATTATAAATACTCAGAGAACTGAGATTATAGCTTCTTTGTTCTGATGTCTGTAATACCTTCTAAGCATCTTAAATGTAGAGAGAAACTCTAAATAAATGCTTGGATAAAATGGTGATTCCTGCCAGAATCACCATTAACAACAACGTCTTCATTCCCTTCTTTAACTTCTTTTCCTCTTTCTCTTTCTACTACTTCTGAAGTGTTAATGACTCGATTTTGGAAATGAATACTATCCTAAGAAGGTACAGACACCAGTAACCCCAGTGTCACAGCTTATTCTTTTCCCTTCCCTCTTCATATTCAACCTATCAACAAATACCATGAACTCCACTTCTTCAAAATATCTTTATTTAAACCTCTTTTCTGTATGCCTATTTCCACCCATTCTAGCACAACTACCTTTCTCTTACCTGTGAGAGCCTTTGAGACTAGTTCTCTGGCTGCTACTGTTGTCCTTGGTCATAAATCCTAAATCTGCCAAGGGAAGGGAAATCTTTTCAAACCTTAGATCATGTTACTTCCCTGCTTAACAAATTCTAACAGCTTCCTGTTTCACTGAAATAAAATTAAAACTGCCTACATCTTGTAATCTGAAAAACTACTTTGTAGATAACAACATGCAATGTATTAACTAGTATTAATTTCATATTATTTTGTTTTGAGGTTCTGTATCATTTTTATCCTTTTAATTGTTTTTAAAATTAAAACATTTACCTTGGCTTTGGAAAATTCTGTGATCTCTGGCCTATGTACCTCCCAACCTTATCTCTGCTAATGTACACCTTACTCGTGGAGTTCCAGCTCTTCTGAGCATTAGTGTTTCCTCATCATCATATTTGCCCAAAGCAGGCTGAGTAGGTTCTCCTGTTCAAGTCCCAGCCAGTGTTGCCTTTTGTGCTCCATTTCTTAACTGTAGAGATGACTTGCACGAGTGGCCAGAAGTAATTCTAAGAATTTTGAGACTTGTCCATGGGGAAAACCTTAGCAGATTCCATCAGATGCCTGAAAAATGATATGTGTGATACTGGGCATGCCCTGAAGGATATAATTGGCCTAAAGGAGGAAGAAAGCTGTATTATTCCTGCTGCCTCCTTGCTAAGGGATGCTTTAAATACTATTGTCAGAAACCAGAGCTGTAGGACAAATAGCCTCTACATTCTTTATCACTTAGGGTTTTGGTTTAGGAGATTGGGTATCATGGCAAAAGCTTTAATGCCATCTGTTTGGTAAGACAGCTCTCTATGTACTTGCTGTCATTATCTTTCTATACTTCTCTGGAGACTTACTCGGACCTCTCATGTTGCATGCTTAGTCTTTGTATATTGAGGAAAAAAGAAAAACCCTATCTCATTCAGTTTTTACATGTTCCTCTTCCTTATAAAAGCTGCAAAATATGTATTATAAGCCTCTTTGCCTTTAGGATCATTGCAGAAATAATCTATATTTTGTATATTTTATCAGACTACACACAGCAAACCTACAAATTGATCTTAAGCTCACTGTGAAAGAGAATTACAATTACTGTGTTTCTAACTACTAATTTTTCTACCCTCTGAAACTGCAAAGCTCTACCAAGTCACATGCATGGATACTTCTAGCCTTCTCTGGAAAAGAAATCTCCCTATATTTTAAATATTTCAGTGTAAAATTGGAGTAACAGGAACAGGTCACATGTAATGGCCCCATAATCCTCCCCACACGGAAAGCCAGAAAGCATGTCCTAACGCATATACTGCAGTATTTGAAAAGTTTTTATTTCTGACCCAAAATTCTCTTCCTTATTTATTTCCTATTGTAGGTTGGTTTATATACAGAGTTAGATCCTGAGGTGAAAGGTGAAGATGTATATCTAGCAGATTTATGTGGAAGGATTTGACCAAGTTATATAAAAGGGAGGAAGAGGGGAAGTAGGGAGGCAGAACTAGGAACTAAAAATCTGTTCTTCAGAAAGTATCCATCTCTCAGATGACCCAGATTATAGAGGTCTCAGTCTGTTGAGAAAGCCATTGTCTTGAAAGTTCTTTCTAAAATCACACTTGTATCTACACACACACACACACACACACACACACACACACACTTCCTCCTTGGCTGAGTTTGTAATAAGGAAGGGTCTCTGAATCACCAAGCTACAAAGTCCTACAGACAACAGTATGTGTGCATGGGGGTAGGAGGGAGAGCTCTGTCTGTGTCCTTAGATAGTGACCAAGCAGGTTTTCCCTTCCTCAGTGAGATAAACAAGCCATGCATTGTTCTGTCCTCCCCTACCCCCAGGCTTCCCTTCCTGCCTAGCAGGTAGGTGGAATGTGCCCTTTGGGGGAGGCTTGAAGAGCAACAGAAAGTAAACAGCTAATCAAGAGCATTTTCTTTACTTCTCCTTATACAAACACTTTCAAAAGAGGAAAGAGTCCATACAACATTATGGCTCAAACTTCTTGCTAAATACCGTACCAAACAACAAGTTACATTTTCTTTATTTCCTATAATGTGTAGAGCCATGACTCTTTCTGAGTGTCCTTTCCCAAGTGTCTCCTAAGGAATTTACTGGGATCCAGGTACAGAGACAGGTAATCCTATCAAAAAATATTAGGGTGGCATTCCACTAGTGTAGATGGAGATTGATTCCTTCCAGAATTGCTCCATCTTCCTCCTCTTACCTTTCACAATAATTTTGCCAGGGCTTTTTCTGAGAGCCAGTTTCTGGATGATCTACCCCTTTTGAATGCATGAGCTCTTCACACTCATTCCTGTGCCAAGTTCTTGTCCTTTGAGTACCTGGAAAAGAAGAAGCCATTTTTACCTTGCCCGCAGGATAAGAGGTTATACTTGATGATGCTATATGGAACCCACCTCTGCTAAGTATCAGAGTGCTGCTTTTCCCACCAAACATTCCAATCCCCCCCCAAAAATCCCAAAATTTCTTATCTTCCCTTGCCCAGGGATTTTTCTTCAGTATATCCTATCTATACCCACTGCTTATCACCTCATTGGGGATTACCCTACTCTGTTGTCCCTCTACCCTCCCTACCTCAGCCAGTTGCACAAGGATACTTGTACCTGTAGTGATTGTTTCTTCAGCCTCCCCTGGCCACTGTGACAGGGTCAGACTGCTGTCAAACTAGTTGCTCTGTATAGTGTGAGGAAGTAGGAGTTGGCAAAGCTCATCAGGCAAGCACTTGCATGTGCCAGTGAAAGGTAGAAGACATTTGATGGGCAAAAATTCAGGAAAGGCTGGGTACTCAGGCCTGAGTATGGACATGAAAACAGAATGTTCATCGTGGTGCTTTTGGGACCAGAGATAATTCTCTAATACATTGATACTCAAAACATGGTTATCACTCCTGCAGCCTTAACACTCTGAAGCTCATTATACATTTGAAGTGTGGACCCCACTTTAACCCTGCTGAGTCAAAATCTACATTTTAAGACTCGTAGACGATCATATGGCCATGAAATTTTGAATAGTGTGTAGCATTTTTAGCTTTGAGCCTTCTTTTAACTGGTTCTTTCTCTTCCTCTGTTTAAATTGAAGAAATTCATTTTCTTGCTACTAACATTTTTCCTGTTATTTTTATTTTTGACATTATTATTTTAACATTATTTTTGGTAGGGGATAGTATTTTATAACAGATCTAATTATCAAGTTCCTGTCATATGTTAAACATTTTATTGAGGAAAATGAGGTTCTGTGACATGCTCAAGGCCAAACAACTAGAGAGTGGTCGACCTAAGCTGTAAGCCAGCTCCTTATGCCTCCACAAACTCTCCAATTTCCTCCCAAATGGTATCCTCACACAGTTGATAAAAGTCAACCCAGACTTCCCTGTGAGACCTAGGGAAAAGAGAGTAAAAAGGGTCTTTGGGAATGATTTCCCCAAGGAGGGAAAGTCCTAACATGCTTTTTTTTTTGTCATAATGGAGCTTATGTAAGCTTCCTCAGAAGCCAGAAATTATTGGAATTGGAGCCAGGGGCCAAGAGAAACAGGAATAGGAATTAGGAGTCTTATGAAGGAAAAGCCCTAACTCCAAATCTCCAAGAGAACTTAAATTCTGATGCTTGAAACTGAGCTTCGGGGTGCAATAAACCCAATATGGGGTTGCTCTGGGTTCTCACTAATGCACTGATCAGTGAAGATGTCATTTGGAATCCCAGCCTGAAGCTTAGGAATACATTATATTTTGCTGTAGCTGGAAGGGTCATTTGTGATGATTGAGTTCAATGTTTTATTTTGCAGAGAGGAAACAGAAGCCCAGAGAAGGGGAGCAATTTGCCAGAGGTCAGAATAAATTCATGGCATATCCACTGGTACTGACCCAAAGCACCACTATTCTAACATTGTGATGGGGCACCTTTACTAGTATGAAATGGAGTTTTCTTTGGATCTTCTCAGGTGTTCCCTAAGAAGTACAGAGCTTGTAAATATGCAGAATTGCGAACTTTGAGAATTTCCAAGTCATTTGCCTCCAGCTTTATAAAATAGCTATAGTGCCTATCCTCTGGTCCTAGAGGCTGCTAGACCTGGCTAATATAGGCGTTCATTTTCTGGGACCCTAAGGACCTACAGAGATAGCTGGGTGGGGTCAACTTAGTCCAGGAAGCATAGGAATTCTTTTAAGTGTATGTTTCTGGGATATTTTTCTCCTCACGTGTATTTTTAAAAATTCTTTTTAGACATCCGCTTTATCTTTCCCAAACATCATTTCCTTACTCCTTTCCTGAGTTCTAGCAGCGGCCGGGGCCCAGCTTCCTTATTGGCTTCTGAGCTGTGGAGGGGGTGGGACTGGGCTCAGAAGAGGTAGGAGCCGGGAAGAGGGGGGCTGTTTGTGCTGCTGGAACTGCCTTTCATCCTTCCCTTTGCCACCAGCATATTGGCTGGTTCCTGGAGCAGCGTCTTCACTCCTATCTGGCTCTTAACACTGACTTTTATTTTCTAAGGCTGGGGCCACATCAAGACGCAACCAGGCTGATGACCATACCTGCCCTTCAATGCTACCCCTTCCTGTTCTTAAAACTGGGACTTGAACCTGACTATGCCTGAGACCCTTTGAACACACACAGAATCTTGGGCTCATGGCTCCTCACCCCAGGTGACACCTGGGGGGAAGATGGGTTCCAGTTAAGGCAGGACACTGCTAGAAGGGTTGTTGATAAGAGTCTGAGCTAGCTGGATACCTCATTCTCTGCTGAGCCAACTCTCCGCCCTGGGCAACTTCCATGGTAGGTACAGCCAGTAGCCGTGACTGCTATGGCCACTGCCCTTCTTTCTTTTCTTTATTTCCTTCTTGTGTGTCCTTTACTTTTTACATCCTAAAAATGCATTTGGGGGAATTGAATATTAATATGTGTTTATTGATAGTGCCTGAGTCAAAAAGAGTGTGCTCTTGGGTCATTGCCTCCACACTTAGGTCTGGACTGCATGGATCTTGACTGGAATCTTCTCATTCCTCTGCTTATTTCTCATCATCTCCCTTTCCCAATGCACAGGAAGGGATTGTTTCTAGGACTGCTGCACCCCTCTTTTCTGACTGCTTCTTGAAGGAATGTCTATGGCAAGCCTCAGGTACATATGCTTCCTGAGACAGACTCCCTTCAGGGAGGAGCAGTCATGTGGTATCCTAGAAAAAGCTGGAGATCTGAGTCTCATCTGAATTCAGCTGATTACTTGACAAATCACTTAAGGTTTCTCTTTGTAAAGTGGAGGTAATAACAGCTTGCACTACATTAGGTTGGAATAAGAATTAAAATGACTAATGCATGCAAAATGATTAATGTCTGGCATATCTGAAATGTTAAATAAATAGCCCCTGTTGGTTTTTTTTTTTTTTTTTTTTTTTTTAAGTTTTTAAAATATCTCTGTCTGGCACTATACCATTTGATTTCATACATGGATCTACATCATCTTATTCCACACCATAATTTAAAAGAAAGAGATGATCATCTTCCTCATTTGTAACTCAAATGTCTGGGGCAGTATGGCTCAGTGGTAGAGGTCTTGCCTAGCTGGGGTTTCATTCACAGCCCCATCACAAAGAAAAAAAGAATCTGCAACTCAGAGAAGTGACTTTCCCAAGGTCACGTACTAGGACTTCAGTACAAGTGTGGACTGGCTTCAAATCCAGGGCAATTAGGAATAACACTAGACTATGTATGAAATCCTATAAAGTTTGCATTCCTGAACTAGAGTTAGAAGTGTCCAGGCTCCAGTTTCATCTGTTGGAATTTTCTTCCTCCCAGACATCCATTTTCCTCCTAGTGTTTTTGTTTGCTTCCTTTATAATGGAATTATCCTATTTCTGAAGAGGAGAGAGAGACAGAGAGGAAGAGAGAGAGAGAGAGGGAGAGAGAGAGAGAGACAGAGAGAGAGAGAGACAGACAGACAGAGAGAGAGAGAGAGACAGAGAGACAGAGAGACAGAGAGAGATTTGTAAGCTACTTAAACTACCTTTCAAAGTGAAGCAAAGAGGTGAAACCCTGGCACTTGGTGGGCTTAGCTTTCCCAGACTGGCCTCAATCTCATGATCCTCCATCCATCTGGGATAACAGTCATACCTAACTTGGTGGAGGGGTACTCTTTGACAATTCGGAGGTGATAAATGTTACAATAGTACCTACCATTCCTGACCACTTGCTATGGGCTGGATGGTTTCCTGGATGCTTTGAATAATACTATTTGTAGTATCTGCAATAACATAGCAAGGTCAGAACTAGCATTCCCTTTCTCAGGTAACAAAACTAAACTTCGGCTGTCTAAGTGGCTCATAGGATCACACATCCAAAATGATAGAGTTAGAATTGGAACCTAGATATTTTCTCAGTTGTTTTTGTCTCATTAGTTACTAGCTTGGTACAAGTGGTAAGTTGAGACTGTCATATATGAAAGGAGGATGAACAATGTAAAGTATCATATTATTATAGGATAAACTGTGATGTTTAGAGTATTCAGGACAAGTTCCCTGGAGAAGATGGCATTTTCACAGTACCTTAAAGAAGAGATAGGATTTAGGTTAACAAAGTAAGGTGCATTCTGACAGGAGAACAGTCATAGTAATTTAGGTTGAGGACTGAATGGATCCAATTTTAAACACCTGATGTGCATTGTTTAGTTTAATATTTTTCAGGAATACCTTTAGGCAAATACTGGCCTTTTACTGCCATGAAAACTAGGGCCCAAACAAATGAAGTTACTTGCCTGAAGCAACAGAAGCTAATAATTGTTAGAGTTTGAATTCAAACAAAAGTGGTCCAATTCCAGAGCCTGTGGTAGGTTATGCTAGAAATGCAGTCAGAAAGGGGAGAGCCAGTTATAGGGTGTGATTGGAGTAGAGTTGAGCTGGCAGTAGGTGAGTAAAATAGTTATAGAAGGCTTTGAGGCAACCTTTTCACTTTATATTTGAGAGAAGACAGGGTAAAAATTAGGGAAAATTCAAAGTAAGAGAGTGCTTTCAATTCAGTTGGTGCTTAATGTGATAGGATCTAAAAACAATGACTAAAGTGGGACAAGAGGAGAGTGAATGGAGGGCAGATGCGGTTTTTTGAATGCAAGATACCAAGGGCTAGAACAAGAAGTGGTGGTGGTGGATTCTGGGAAGAGAGGTGTAAATACTGTGTAAGGATCTCAGTGAGAATGAAGAAAAAGTAGGAGAACAAGGGCAAAAGGGAGAATGAGAAAAGGAGGGGAAGAGAGATGGAATGAGCGAGAAGCAAAAATAGAAATATAGCATCAGAGAAGATTTGACAGAACTCAGGATGGGCTTGTACAGCTAGAGAAAAGATGATACCACTTCACTTTCAATGCATAGAGGCATAAGGATAAAGTAGATACACATTCTCCATAGAACTAGTAGTACACAAGACTCTACTGCTCAGAGGTGCTTCATTGATAAGTAGTTATTGAGCACATGACTACCAGGTAAGAACAGCTGGAGAGATCTCACAACTATAAGGCAGAAATTTATATGTGAGATTCTGAAGCAAGTGCAGTCCCCAAGTCCTCTTTTCTTTCAACTTTAGTCTTGTTCTGGACCACTCTTAAATTCCATGTAATTGCAACAATGTGATTGCAAAGGTGAAAGCCTCAGGTGGCTTTCTTCCTTATAATTCTTAGCCACTGCTGCTCATCTATGGTGCTGAACTTTGTCAAACAGCTTACCCCACCCTTCCTCCTGTGCCTTCTTATCCATGTCTGACCTGTTGCTATTCAATCTTTGTGTCTCTAGCAAACCCATGCACCTCATGTCTGAGATAGCTGGGTTCTTTTTTCTTTCCATTGGAGTGTGGGACATTTCTGGTTAGGATAGCATCCTCAAGCTTGACTGTCTATCACCACACCTGGGAAGTGGAAAGATGATTTATCCCATTATACATCAAGCTTGTTGAAAAAAGGAGCCTTTATGTCATTCAACTTTGAATCGTCAATGCCTAATATGAAGCCTGGCACAGTAACTGTAAATAAATTAGTAAAAAATGGGTGATAAACTAGTAAATATGCTATCTGTTAATCTATCGTCCACTTAGCTTCTGCTTTTCTTACTCTAACATTTATCTCTGTATCATCCAATTCACTATGCTATACATTTCTCTATAAACTTTCTCAGTTTTCTCTTTCTATCATTTGTTTTTCCACTCTGTCGTTTCTCTTTTATCTCTAACATCTGCCTGCCTCTCTCTCCTGCTCTTCCTCTCCTTCTCCCTTTTCCTCTCCATGTCTTCTCCCTCCCCCTCTTTGTACTCTCTTTCTCTATCTTTCTTCCTCCTTCCCTCTCCCTCCTATTTTCTATCCTATCAGTCATTTCTTTATCCCCTGGCATTGCCTGTGCGCCATGTGTGCTCTTTCCCTCTTGCAAGAGTGGCATCTATTTGTATGAAGCATGCTTGTGGACAGAGATGAAAGCTGTATGAGCCAGTTGGTTCAATGGGGCCAGAGCCTCCAGTACCAGTGTGCATTGGAGGATTTAGCCTCAGACCTAGTCATTTTATTCACTGCTGACCCTCTTTGTAACCAATCTCCCTGTAGCACTGTGACATTCATCACTTTGTTCTTTTTTCCACCTCACAGAAGCTAGGATTCCCTGAAACCACTGTGGCTATGAACTCAAGTGTCTCACCTTTGTGCTCATCGTGTCCTTCCCTCACTCAGTGCCTTTACCATGCTTTACTTGGATTAACTCTGTCCATTGAATGAATCTGTAGATCCTTAAGGACAGATTGGATTTGATTCATGTCAGTACCCCAGAGCTACATGTATACAGTACATGCACAGCAAATGCCTATTGAATTAATGCATAAAACTTAGAGATTTCACAGCCCAATGTTGACATATTCAATCACTTCTTCCTTTCTTTCTCAAAGAAAAATTGGAAATTTGCTAAACTCAGTTTTTTTTTCTCAAGCAGAAGTAAAGGTAGGCTCAGTACTTATTGGGAAACTATTCTCTCTTATACCACAAACATTTACTGATATCTACTATGTGTCTAGCATTATTATATGTGTAAGGATACTCCTATAGAGTAAATAACCCTATGAAGCCAGTATTCTGTGTCTCCAGGGATTTTCCCTAAGAAGGAGACCTGAGTACTGAGAGTTTGGGGGGGTGGCTCAGATTCCCACACCAGTTCCTTGCAAGATGTTCTACTTCATTGAAGGGAAAGAAGGGGTGGGAGCGGAAGCTGCTTGGGAAGTGATTTCAGCCCTGGTTCCTTAAGCTAACTTCCTGTCCTTTTCTTGCTGTAGGAGAAACGCCCTTGTCAGTAGACCGCATTCATGGCATGTGGCCAAGCTCCTGGAGGGATGCCCTGAAGCGGCCACCACCATGCATTTTCCTTCTGAGGCCTTCAGCTTATCCTGGCATTCAGGTTGCAACACTGGGTAAGTCTGGAGCCTTCTCCTCAAGGTGAGCTGAAGGGCCTGGCCACTATTCCTCCTCTGCTCTGGTCCCTGATGGATGTTTTATGAGACAAGAGGGATAGAACTGAAAATGTCATGGGAGTCCGGATTACTTGTTCTCTTATCTTAGTCTACTGTTAAGTCTCTATGACTTTTCTTACAGCCAGTAATTTCTTTCTTTGTTCCTTCCTTTCTTTCTTCTTTCTTTATTTTTTTTTCCTTTCTTTTTTGTGACTATTCTCTTGAAATACATCTTTTGGCTTACAGGACACCACACTGTCCTATTTCTCATGCTTTTAACTAGCTGCTTTTTCTCAGTCTCTTTTCCTGATTCTTTCCATATCACTGCTCTCTTAATACAAGAGGACCATCAGAGTTTCGTTCTGGCTATGTGTTATGCCTGCAGCAATCACTGGAAACTTTATCCAGTGTTTATCAGTTGTATCTTACAAGACCAAAGTCTCCAAAATAGAGACAGAAAACTGGATCTATCTGCAAAAAAGATCACTCTATTCAGGGACATCAGTGTTATTTCTTATTGAAATAGTTGTCAAGAGATAGACAACTTTTTTGACAAGCTCAGAGCACACTGCCATTGGCTGCATTTTACTTTCCACAACCAACTCTTCCCTCCAAGAAGGGATTTCTTGAGAGAGACTTAGGGAAACTAAGAATTGAGATTGCTCTGACTCAATGAATTTATTTGTCATGAGTTGGCAGAGTCTCAGGGAGAAGTGATTTTGTTCTAGAAGAATATACAGAAACACATTTTGAGCTGGGCTCCTATTTGAGAGGAGATATTTTGGTTTGGGGTTTTTTGTTATTGTTGTTGTTTTGTTTTTTCTAGCAGAAAGAGTGGTATAGTCAGTTCAGGTTCTCTTGCCAACAAACAGTTGGTGAATTCTTAGCACAGAGCACAAGTGAGCAGAATGGCTAAGGGGAAAAGCAGGGAGTAGGAATTAAAGGATGCTGACCTAAAGGTCTGAAGGGCTGCTCTCACAGCTCAGCTTTAGCTTTCTGGACCATGGCCTTTCGGAAAACACCCTAACAACACCTCCAGAGTTCCAGTCAGAGGGAGTTACCGGCATGACTCAGCTCACTTTAGTTAGGTGTGTAAGAAATGGTACTTAAAATTCAAGATTGCATCTGCTATTTGCCTGCATGTTTGATCTCTGTCATGAGAGATGTGGGTAGCATGGATGGGCAAAGGCCACTGTAATAGTTACTATTTGTACTGATCAGCAAATCAACAATTTGCTGATTGTACTAACAAGAATCAAGAGAGTAGACACTACCATATAGTGATCCTATGCTAGGCTCTTGGCTGTGATAAGGGCTCTACACTATTATTTGATTTTATCAACACAGAAACTGTCTGACACTGATTTCATATTATTCCCATTTAAAAGATGATATCAGAAAAGAGCTAAAACATTGGATCCATGCAGGCCAGGGTTCGAATTCCAGCTCTGATTCTTTAGTATAATAGTGAACTTCTCAGTTGGCTTTACCTATCTAAGCTTCAGTGTTCTTAGTTGTACTGTGGCAATAGTGATCTTCCCTTGCAGTTAAATTTCTAGGCACACTGTAGGTCTTCAGCAAATAGGACTGCTATTATCAAGAAAAAAAATGGAGCAGAGGCTAGAGTGTAACTCAAAGGTAGAGCACTTAACCTAGCATGCTCAAGGCCCTAAAAAAGAATAGAATAGGGGAATGCCTAAATTGGCAATTTGTCTGTGGGCTAGTTAAAGCTGAGTGATTTTGAGAAAATTGCTTCTTCAAGGTCACTTCCTTTTTCAAACTTTACTTTGTTGACATTAATGATTCTCAAATATGGGGGCTTTGGACCAGCAGCTGGTCCCAGCAGCACATGGGAAGTTGTTAGAAATGCATATATTCAGGATCCAACTGAACCTAAAACTACAGACAGTGGTGGTGAATCTATGACATACGTGCCACAGCAGGCTGTTTTTAATTACTGAAAGCTCTAAAAGGTTAGCCATCAGTACCCTAGTATAGGGCCTGCTGACCTGTATTATAAAAAGCCGTCTGTATTAATGCTGATGCACCTGCCAGGTTGAGAACTATTGATTTATGAAATGATCTGGTTGAAATTGAGTCAGCCCTGTAGGACCCCTGTCTAATGCTGATATTCTGTGACTGTCCTAGCAGAGCCACATGCTAACTCCCAACAGACATTGACAACCTAGAAGCAATTCCAAACTTGTTGATGGCAGGGAGTGATGCATAATTCCCATGACATTTTCTCACGTGCAATCTTTGTCATGTGTCCCCCATTTTAGCATGTCTCGGCAGTACCCCCGTATCCATCTCCTTCCCTATTATACTTTCTACCTTTCTCACCTTATTGATCTCACATCTGTGGGATGGATGTCTCTATATTGTTTTGGCTTCTCCCATGGTAGGGCTAGCCAAGGTGTGAAAAGGACCTGTTGGCTTGGCTGATTAACCAGTGTTCTTCTTGTTTTACAGTGACGTGTGTGCACAGTGGTGTCCTCTCTCCCGGCACTGCAGCACTGAGAAAAGCAGCTCCATTGGCAGCATGGAAAGCCTGGAGCAATCAGGCCAAGCCACCTATGAGGGCCACCTCTTGCCCATTGAACAAAATATGTATCCTAACCAGCGTGACTCAGCCTACAGCTCCTTCTCAGCTAGCTCAAATGCCTCTGACTGTGCTCTTTCCCTCAGGCCAGAGGAGGCAGCCCCTACAGAATGCATCATGCAGGGTTTAGCGCCAGCTAAGCCTCCCACTGCCCAGGCTAATGCATCTGAGACCTCAGGAGGTAGCCAGCACACCAACACTGGCCACCTATCTCCCAGCTCCCAGATGCCATTCCACACACAGGGGAGCTACTCAGAGCCTGCCAAGACAGTCAGGGGCCCTCCACAACCTCCAGTGAGGCGAGATAGCCTCCAGGCCTCCAAAGCCCAGGTCCTCAATGGAGAACAGCGCAAAACATCTGAGCCTACAGACTCCTTGCAACAGAAAGAGAAAACAAACTTAGACACAGTCTTATCCCCAAGGAACCCTCACAGGTTCTGCTGTCTCAGTGGGCAAGACCATGTAACAAGCAAGGAGCATCAAATCTGTGAGCTCAGTCAGCCTTCTGAATGTAGCCAGCAGGGCTCTGAGCAGGTCCTCATGGAGGCTTCTCTCAAAACCTGTGACAAAACTTCTAGCAGAGATCCCAGCCTCCTCGATGAGACACCAGCAGAGCTAACTAAGGCTTCATCCTTTGGCAGCCCTCCACACCTCACAGGACCCACAGGACATCGCCATAGTGCCCCTGAACAGCTATTGGTATCCCATCTACAGCATGTGCACCTGGGTCCCAGAGGTAGCGCGGGGTTGGAACGCCCAGCTGTACAGGATGCACACCAGTGGACTCTGTCCCCTTTGCACAGCAGCCACAGAGGGAAGAAAGGCTCCTGTTCCCCTACAGGAGGTTCCCAGGATCATCTCAGCAGAGAAAGAAAGGCCAGGCCAATGGATGATAGGCCTTTGAATTCAGGATTCCAGACCCAAAGCAGTTCTCCACATAGAGAGGCTGATGGATGCCCACCAGAAAGAGGATTCCTGGACACAAGCAGAGCAGGCAGTGACTTGGTCAGGCAGCAGCCTGCTGCCTCTTGCTCTCTCTTTCAACAAACCAAAGACTGCCCTTCAGCCACTAAAGTAGATGACAGCACAGAAGTGATAGGGGAAGGAGACAGTGAACCCAAGGAGTGTAGTCAGATGGGTGGTAGACAAAGCAGAGGCCTCCGGGGCCGCTCGATCCAAAACCGAAGGAAGAGTGAACGTTTTGCTACCAGTCTGCGTAATGAAATTCAGAGGCGGAAGGCCCAGCTTCAGAAGAGCAAGGGTCCTTTGTCACAGCTGTGTGACCCTCAGGAACCAGTGCAAGAAACTCAAGAGCTTCCCGAAAATCCTCCACTTCCTGCTCCTAATTCATCACTTCTATCTTCATATAAAAGTCCCCCTAGCCCCAGAGATAAGCTTTTCAACAAAAGCATGATATTCAGGGCTAGGTCTTCAGAGTGCCTTAGCCAAGGTCCTGAGAGCCATGAATCTAGGACAGGCTTGGAGGAACAAATAAACCCTGGCCGGAGGTCTGGCCAGTCCTCCATGGGCCTGAACACCTGTTGGAAAGCATCTGACCCATCCATCTCAGACTCTGAAAGAGGGACTGCTTACCATGGCATCCGTGGAGGTAATCGAGGATGGTCTCTAGAGCATAATCTACCCCCACGTGTGGCCTTAGCCATGGAAGGCCCTTCCAACTCATGTGACAATAAGGAACTGAAGACTTCTATTACTCAAGCTGGGGAAGAAACCACCCTCTTGCCCTTTGCAGACAGAAGAAAGTTCTTTGAAGAGAGCAGCAAATCCTTATCCACATCTCATTTGCCAAGTTTAACTACTCATAGTAATAAGACATTTACCCAGAGACCAAAACCTATGGACCAAAACTTCCAGTCAATGAATGCCAGCTATAGGGAATTGAGGTGCTGTCCTGTTGACCAATCATATTATTCTACAGATCAACCACATCATGCCACAGATCAATCATATCATTCCATGCCACCCCTTCAGTCAGAAACTCCCACTTACTCAGAATGCTTTGTAAACAAAGGTCTAGAAAATTCTTTATGTTGTAAGCCACTGCACTGCAGTGATTTTGATTGCCGCAGGACCTGCTCTTACTCCTGCAGTGTTCAGGGAGCCATGGTCCATGATACTTGCATTTATTGTTCTGGAGAAATCTGCCCTGGCTTGTTAAAAAGAAATATGATGCCCAACTGCTACAACTGCAGGTGCCACCACCACCAGTGCATGCGGTGTGCAGCTTGCTGTCATAATCCTCAGCACAGCACCCTTGAGGAGAGCAGCTTGGCATCTGGCAATGCTTGGGAATCCAGGAAGCCAATGGTGCAGGTGAGGACTTGATCCATGGGGTAGTTGAGTTTCATTATTCTCCTTGTGAAGAGAAAGATAAGTCATTTGAAAATGTAATAATTATCATTTTGTCTCTACACGGTGGTGGTTTAGTAATCTTGGGCAAAGCACTTAGTCACCAAAATTACAATATACCTGTGCATCTCTAAGTTAGATAAAAGTAACTTCTGGTCAGGGGTTTAGCTCAGCGGTTTAAGTGCCTGCTTGGCAAACGCGAGATCGTGAGTTCAATCCCTGGCACACACACACACACACACACACACACACACACACACACACACACAAGTAACTTCTGCTTTGCTATGTGAACAAAACTGGTTTTCTATCCCATTTGTAAAATTGGTATGTAAGTAACATTAAGCATTCAACTACCAAAAATTGAAATTTTATGATTTTAAAAGAAAAACTAATATTTACCTCATAAAGTAGCCAATACTAAAAGCAGTCTTATTACCTTATTTCTAAAGTTGGAGATTCACAGATCAGTTATGAGGATCAAATAAGCTCTGTGTACAGCATGCCAGCTCAGTGTGTGATGTGAATCAGCACTTACTGTCTTCCATTTCCTGTTTAAAAACTCTTTGAAACTATAAAATATGCAAATATTCCCTTCGATTTTGCTTTCAGAGATCTGATTGTCTTTTTTTAAATTCTCCAAGACAAATCGTTCCCCTCCTCTCCAGCCTTTCTCTGTTGGAGACCCAGGCCTAGACTGGCTGCTGAAAGGCCCTGATTATGACCTACCCACATAACATCAGTTCCTACCTTTCCCCAGTGTACTTCTGAAACAACACTCTATGTCCTTGTTCCCTCACTACCAGATCCCTTCCCAGTGACATCCCTAGTGCCACCTTTTGGCTGCAGCACTCAACCCAGAAATAAATTTGTGTATTGAACTGTTGTTTCATAGGTCAACACTTTGGAAATGACAGTGTTTGAAACTGCTCAGTATAATTTATTTGCCAGAAGAAGCTTTGGAAGTGAAAAGCACTTTATGCAAAAGAGTACATACTCTACAATTCCTTTTATATGAAGATCTGAAAGGCTATATACCTGTGGAGAAAATGTTAAGTGCTTGCCAGTGGCAAGCAGCACAGATTGTCTGGAAAAGGGCATGAGAGCATACTCTTGATAAAGTTTCTAGTTACACAGGTGTGTCTATCAAAAGTCAACAAATGCAACCTTAATACTTGTACATATCTGAGAAGCAAATTTTTCCACAAATATGTTGTAAGTGAATATAAAGCTATTTAATATATATGCTAAAATATTTTTGAAGTATGTTGATAGCTTATTTATAATTTTCAGCATACAAACCTTACATATATTTTAGCATCCTTATCTCTAAAATTTCGTATTTTGATGCTATTATAAATATATTTTTATGTCTTGTTCCTTTTTATCGGTACCAGGGATTGAACTCAGGATTGCCTGCTTGCAAGGCAGGCGCTTATGCCGCTAAGCTAAAGCCCCAGCCCTATAAAGGTATTTTTAATGACTGGTTAAAATTCTTTGTAGTTACTATGTAGAAATATTGTTAAACTTTGTATATTGGCCTGGCATCCTGCAACTTTGCCAAATGCATGGATTAGTTCTAACATTTTGGTAGATTATAAAAGATATGTACATAAGCAATCATGTCTTCTATCAATAGAAAGAATTTTTATGTCTTCCTTTCCACTGTATGTGCCCTTTCTTGGAAGAGAGGGGAGTTTCATTACACTGTCTAGGGTTATCATCACTTCAGAAAAAGTGATGAGAGCAGACATTGTTGTTTTGTAGTCATTCAGTGTTACATTTGATTTTAGCTATAATATCTCTCTCACTCTCTGTCTTTCTGTCTCTCTGTCTCTCTGTCTCTCTGTCTCTCTCTCTCTCTCTCTCTCTCTCTCTCTCTCTCTCTCTCACACACACACACACACACACACACACACATATTGCTTTCCTATTTTCTTTCCTTCCTTTCCTCTTTATACTTGTGATTAAACCCAGGATACATCACACATGCTAGGGTAAACACTAAACAACATCACCATCTTTTTAAATTTTATTTTAAGGTAAGGTCTTGTTAAATTAACAAGACTAGCCTTGAATTTCCTGTATCAGTCTCCTAAATAGCTGGGATTACAGTTGGGTAATGCCACACCTGATGAATAAATATCTTTTTACTGTTAAGGTGTTTTGTAAGAGTGGATTTTTAACATTTTTTCAAAATTCAAATTCGTTTTCTGTATTTATTGAGATATGTAACTTGTCTCTTTAATCTGTTAACATGGTGATTGATATTGATTGATGTTTGAAATAATTCCCAGCCTGGCATTGCCAAGATGAATACTACTTGATCATCAATGTCATATCCTTTTTATATGTTACTAGATTTGGTTTGTTAATATTTTGTTAAAGATTTTTCTATCTATTCATTAAGAATTTTAGTCTATAATTTTCTTGTAAAATCTCTGGCTGCTTTTTCTGCTAGGATAATGTGCCCTTCAGAAATGAGCTGAGAAATACATGCTTGTATTTTCACAGATAACTTGATATTATTCCTTAAATATCTGGTAGAATTCATCATTGAATCCACCTAAATATGGAGTTTTCCCTCTTGGAAGGTTTTTAACTACAGATTTGATTTTTATAATAGGTATTGGGTCATTTAGGTTGTTTATTTCTTCTTCATTCAGTGGCTTCATTTGGTGGCTTTTTAGTTTGTAACAAGATGTTAATTGTAGAATCTAGATGGTAGGTATATGGATATAAACATCCTTCAAAGTTTGGGGATGTTTTAAAATACAATGTTGAAAAACAGAGAAGAAATACAGAAGAATGGTTAAAGAACACTGAAGCTAGAACAAAGCTTCCTGGGTTCTAATTACTTCTCTAGAAGGTATAGTGCCTATCCCTTTCTATCTAAGAAATGAAGGTAACAACAGCACCTACTACATAAACTGGTTGTGAGGATGATGGGTGTGTAAGGCCTTTAAAACAGTGTCACATGATAATTATCTTATAAGTAAGATAGATGTATTTTAAGATAAAGGGAGATTTAGGCTCAGCTTGATAAATTTTAGTTGAAAGGACTCACAAATGGATTACAGAATAAGGGGACTGAGAAGGAAGAGGATGTGAGGAGATGATGACTGCAAAGGTGGCAACCCAAGTCCAGCAACTGTGTAAGGGAAGGAGGCTAAATGGCAGATAGAAGCAACTGGCAGCAGCATTGCAGGTTAACATGTGCATATACCACAACTTTCCCTTTGTGCTTGGAGGGAGGGGCATGTTGGGTTCCCAATGCCTCTTAGACTGGCTAAGCAGGTCTTCTGAGATGGCTATCTAGGAACCAAGGCATGCCCATGTGTACCCCACCACCTGTACCCTGCACCCCACCCTTGCAAGACCTGGGGGAAACTTGTGTCATGAGTTCAGCTGCAGTGAGTTCTGATGACTAAGTTACCTCTGACAGTGGATTTCTGAAGTATGGCTGATATTCTGTTTCTTTTGCTGCTAAAGAAAATGGAGGAGATAATTTTCTTCTTCAATGCTGTTAGAAATGCAATCAGCACACATTCATATCCCCTATATTTCATGCTGGTTATTTTTGCACACATAGATTATTTCACTGTATGAGGTAAATTATAATAAGAACCTCAGTTTACAGTAGAGGATACTGAGACTCAGAGTGGTCACACGTTTTACAAATGGCAGAGCCAGTATTTGGATACCACAGCAGTAACTGACATTTGGATGTGCACTAATATCACTAGTATATTCTAAGGGCATCAGATGCATAAACTCATTGAATTCTCAAGCAGTCAAGAAACAGGGACTCGGGGCTGGAGATTTAGCTCAGCGGCATAAGCGCCTGCCTTGCAAGCAGGCAGTCGTGAGTTCGATCCCTGGTACCGATACAAAGGAAAAAGACAAAAAAGAAAAAGAAACAGGGACTCTTATTATCTCATATTTGCTGCTATCTAGCTGGGGAATGACAGTAAAGAGAAACTGAATCTGTACATCTAGTGAAGGACAAGTGTGAGATTTAAAGCTTTACCCTCTAGGTATAGAGGCCAAACACCTTAGTTTGCTCTACTGCCTCTCCATCAGCTGCTAACAAAGTCCAGACAATCTCCGGTGTGGCAGGATGCCTTCTAGTAATATCACTTCCATTGGGGTAGCAAGTTCCCCCATAACCCCCACTGATCACCAGCCATGGAGGTAATGGCTTCTTCAGTTCAAGGACACAGGCAGTTTACAGGAACCTGAGTGTCTCAGGGGAAAAAGTAAACTGAAACTGGAAATATGGAAAGCAGTTTAGCAATGAGTAAAGGACATTGTTTAGTTTGGCCACTGCTATTTTTTCAACACTTCCACAGGGCTAGACAGGCCATGGGCAGGAAATCCTGGTTCCCATTGTAACTAAACAAGTCATGGTGTCTTTGTGGGCAAAGACATCTCACAAGGGCATCAAGACAGAATCTGAAATTCAAGTGGCTAAAGCTATTCTGATGTCTCAGGTACATGTAGGAGGATACTTTGGTCCTATGAAAGCTACAGCCTGGAAATAAACTTCACCTTTTCCATGGCTACTGACATCCAGAACCTTCTCTCCCGTAAGCACTGTGCAAGAATTTCTCTCTGCACATCTGATTTGATCCTCCCTCCTGGGAACCCACAAGAGTAAATAGCATAATCCTTATTTGCTAGATTGAAACTGAGGTCCAAGGAAGTGACTGAGCTCTCAAATAACAAATGCCGTATCACAGGTGTGCTGGCACATGCCCATAATAATAGCACTCTGAGAGACTGTAGCGGTAAGAATACAAGTTTGAGTTTAGACTTGACAGCTTAATAACTTAGTGAGACCTTGTCTCCAAAATATAAGTAAAAAACAAAATATGAGATAGATAATTGAAGTAGGAAGATTGATCTTTTGCAAATAGGAAGGGGATCAAATGATGGAAGGGGGAATGAGTATAAATAAAATGAATTAAGATGTGCTGCGTATATGTACCAACTATTATGTACTGCAAAAATGTACCAACAAATTTAAAATGTTTAAGTGGCTGGGGATGTAACTCAATGAAAAGGCTCTGGATTTAATCCTTTACTACCATGCTACAAAATATGTAAAATAATAATGACAATAGGAAACAACTAGTAAATATCTTACCTGGTATGACTGACACCAAAGATCTGTGTTGATTCTCCTTCACCAGTGCTCCCCAAAAGGTGCTATTGAGGTAAAGGTATTAAAATCTTGAATGGGACTAATGATAACAACACTGGAGAAACAGAGTTTGGAAGATCAATCAGGTTTAGGAAAAACTGCATTCTTTTTGGGCTAAGTTCTGAGTCTCTGGATAGATAGTGATGGGTGGAAAATCAAGAAGAATCTGAGAGGAAATTTTTCATTCATTTTAGAGCTAGAACAGGAAGCTGAGAACATTTTTATAAATGGAACACATGGCATGGCCTGGATGGAAAAAGTGGTGGCTGGGCATAGCTCTTAAGGAAAAAAAATGTCCAGAGTAGAAAATCTGCTCATGTGGTATGGATATCATGGCATCTGGTATTTGTATTCCTCAAAAAAGAGCCCACATCATCCCCTGCCAATAGATGTGGAGAGAGAAAGAGCCACTGTGGGGCAGGCTGTGCTGGCAGATCTACTCTCCCTCTCCCTTCACCTACCTGGGAGAGGGTTTCTGCAGCAGGAGACTTTGACTGTGACACCCTTACACACACACACCCAAGGCCAGAGCTTCCATGAAGATGCTTTTTGTATTGACAGAGGTAGAAGGAGTGAGAAGGTTCATCCACTAGAACAAACAAAAAGACCTCCTTCCTTTGACCCTCAATGCAGGCAAAAGCCAGAGCACATAGCAAACACGTTAAATTGGTTTTGAGTATAATTTAAAAGGGAAACAGAAAATGTAGGAAATACAACTTCTTCAGACCACCTGTGTCCAGTCTCTGGATCACTGCATGCCTGAAGTAGCTCATCAGGCCTCTTGGCAAAAAGGCAGTCTTCCAGGTGCACATTTCTGTAGCCTGCCCAGAGGAGTAGATTGTACCAACTGGATGGCTAGTCAGAGATAGGTTCCGGACTGCTTTGTTTATTTGAAACCATCTGGATACCTGGTTGTTCAGAGCTCCCTAACTTATTAGAACTTTGCTTTGCAGGAATTTCCTGAGGACAAATGGAAACCAATTATCGGAAACAAGAAGACTGGCCAGTTGGGGAGGTAAGTGATAGCTCAGGAAGCTGGGGTAAATTGGTGCCTCTGAGGCTTCCATAAAATTACTAAGGTCTTTAATTTAATTTCCTTTGAGGAAACTGGTCTGGTATCCATACCAAGGACTTTTTGCCACAGATATAATCCAGCCTGCATCCTAGACAGTTGGGTATAGACCAAACCGATTGCTGCAATATTTTGAGATGTACCCTAATTAGCCAGTATTGTGTTGGACACTTTATATACATCAGCATAGATACCTCAGTCATCACTGTACTGGTCAAAGGTCATATTGGACCAGACTCTGCTGAAAAAGAAATGGAAAAGCATAAGCTGTGCCTCCCTTTCCAGTGGTCATGGGGAAGATGCAGCTTGTAGAAAGGAAGAAGTACTCACCAACTGCTGCTGTGCCTTTACCTGAGTTGCTAGGGATAACTGGTTACTGGCTTCTGCCACCTTCCCTTTAATGCAGTTTGTTGAGGGACTCAAGTATTCTTATTGGAAATCCGGAAACAGTCTCACCATTCTAGGAGGATGAGAAGAGAAAATCACAAGTTTGAGTACTACCTGGGAACTTAGTGACATGGTGAGACCCTGTCTTAAATGTAAAAAAATTAATAAATAAAAGGCTGGAGATTTATCCCAGTATGAAGGACTTGATTTTAATTCCCAGTGTACTACTGCAAAAAAAGGTCTGGGGACAGACAATGACAACTCCTGGAGACAGAGGGTTTTTTTTTTTAAATAAATGTCATATATGACTTGGAATACAGTAAAGCATTTCTTGGACATAGCCCTTAAGGAAAATCCTTGCAGGATGCAGAGTATATCCTTGTAACATGGAGATCATGGCAATGGCAATTGTGCTCTCTAGAGATCAGGTGTGGTAAGTGACTGCCCTAGGTGACTATGAGGCACAGAGAGTTTCTTTCATTGGGTTGCTCTGTCAGCCTGGGTAGACCTACTTGTGTGGACTGACTGAGAATCCTTAAATCAGCTTTTTGCAGCCCAAATGATAAAAGAGGCCCCTACATTGTATTGGTTCTTCATGCAATCTCCAGAATAAATAAAGGGACAAGGAAGAAGGCACCCAATTGTGCCTCTCTTCTCCATTGTGAAGACATGGAGAAAGGACTAGAGTCTGAATCTTCTGAATCTTGAAGAGAGCAGGGTTCTTTTAAGGGTGTCTACATTATCCTTTTTGATTTTACAGCATAGCCAGGAATGTTTCTCACTTTTTTCTGACTCCTAAATATGGGAGACTTCTTTTTCCATGCTAATGAGAAAGAGGTGGAAACCCATATTCATGAATCATCTACTAAGTGCTAGTAATAGACTGGAGCTAGATCTTTCTATCCTGGAAATCTCATTTATTCTTCACAACAATTCATTTTAATGTCCATTTCATAGATAAAATCCAGAGAGGTTATATAATCTAGCTGAGATCACACAGCTTGCAAGTGATAGAAATACGTTTTGAACATAGGTCTGTGTGGCTTCAAAATTCATAATTTTCCCCTTCTATCTGTTTCAATTAGAAGTTGTAAGAAAGCCCTTCATGCTGATCCTTCAGCCTCATGTCTCAGAAGTTTACGGTTTGGGTAGGAATTTTATGAAGAGCCTGTATTCCCCAGCCCTGGACTGACTTGTTTTATATCCTTGGGGAAATCACTCCAGTCCTAACAAGCCCTGTGAATTTCCTACATTAGACCAGGACTCCTAGAGAGGAGACAATATATTGAACACAACCTTATTCTCTGTGCCTAACACAGAGAAATTGCTCAAGAGATACTTACCATTTGCTTGCCAAAGGAAGAAACAGAACCTATTCACCACTGAATGGGTGAAAAGACATAAAAACAATAATGCTAACTAACATTTTGTGAGGTTAGTTGTTTCTGTACTCGGCACCATCCAAAACATTTTATATACAGTGACTTATCACTGTGACTTATGGGGTTGGTGCTATTTTTGTCCCTTTGACAAGGAGACTGTGGCATACATATGTGCATTTATTTATCTAAAATTCCACAGCTAATACGAACTAGACCTAGGAAGTCTAGCTTCAGAGACACTATACTCTACTACGTCCTCCAAAATGGTTATGTGATAGACTGGTCAGTGAAGGAAGACTTTATTGAAAATCTGACATATATGCTAGCTTTTTCTATACCAGATGGGACGTATTAGCAAAAGAGTAGAAGGAAGCATAGTGCTTGCTCACCACAAGCAGGGAAGTATAACTCCTACGCAGTTCAGTAGCAGAAGTGATACACTGCCACTTGCAAAACAACCTGTTTTCCCTGTGCCTTGTTACATACATTAGGCTATTTTTTGTCTTCCCACCAATTCTGCCATTATTATACTAGGGCAGTAGGTCTCAGAATCAAGTGCACAACAGAAACACCTGGAGAACTTATGGAAACACCTGGAGAGTTAGGCTCCACTGTCAGAGAGTCTGATTCAGTAGGTATATAGTGGAGTTCAAAACCAGTGTTTCTGGTGAGCTTCCAGGGTGACGCTGATGCAACTGGGATCACTACGGGAATCTGAACTTCAGAGAGGCTAAGTAATCTACTGAAGGTCTCATAGGTAGTAGAGATAAGCCCATATTTGAACACAGCTTTTGCTTACATAGATTACAAGATATAATATCCTGTCAAATATAGAGATTAAACAAGTACCTGGAACTTGGCAAAGGATCAATAAATGACAAGTATTCTTGCCTTTTATGTAAATTCGTTGGAAGGTAAGAAAACTGAATGTTGGAAGTTACAGAAGGGAAGGTCTAGAGAGGAAACACCAGTGAATTTTGGAGGTGTCCACCATATTGGTTAAATTCTAGAACTGTGGAGTTAATCCTATATTTCAAGTCCAGATTCTTCTATTCACTAGTCATTATGGGCTTGACAAGTGCTTCCTTTTCTCCTTCTCCTCCTTCCCACCCTCTCTCCATCCCCTTTTCATCTCTCTCTCTCTTTCCTTATTAGCAACGTGGCGTAAATTGCGAGGACTAAAGAAATTATTATATGTTATTTCTTGAAAACAAAATCTGACATCATAAACCAGCAATAAATATTAACTGTGGTGCTGAGGAGGAACAGGAGTACAAAAAGCAGCAACGGTAGATAAAGATGATTAGCTTTGAGCTAAAATAAGTAGACCTTGAAAACTAGCTAGGGTTACAAACATGGGAATAGCTAAAGATTACCAATCACCAATGGGTACTAAGCAACAGTTTGATAGGATAAGAAGTTCTAGGCTATTATTGCACAGTATGATGGCTATAGACAATAACGAACTGTACATTTCAGAAAGCTAAATGAAAGAATTTTGCAAATTTTTACAATAAAAATGATAAATACTTGAAGAGATGGATATGTTAACTTGATTTTAACATTATATAATATATACCTGTATTGACGTTACATGGAACCCCATGAATATGTATAAACTTTTACATGATTACATATTAGTATAAAATGAATTAAAATTTTACAAAAATACTAATCAATTAAGTATCTTGATAAACATGGTACTTTAGGTAACTTGGCACAATTTGCACACTGCAAAGTTTGAACAGAGACCAGTATAGGCATTAACCAGGCATGAAATAGTGTGATCTGGATTGGGGAGGTAGAGGAAGAATACAAAGGGAGTAGAAGAGATAGATAAATACACGAGATATTTTGGGAGGAAAATGTTTTGTCATGGAAATTATTTTCATTTCTCTATTTGTTTTATCTACAGGTGCACAAATTATTTTTGCATGATTATAATAACTATGTAGATGTGTTTTGTGTGTCCTGATTCCCCTCTCCCACTAAGCACTATGTGGTAGACAATTTTCATGCTGCTGTTTAGGCTTCCTCAGCAGTTACAGTTTTAATGGATGTATAATATTTCACCAATTTAATATGCTTTAATTTTTTAATCATTCCAAATTTTTTGAATGATTAGGTTGTCTTCAATTCCTTGTTATTACAAAGTGGGCCTACAGCAATAGCTATAGATAAACCTTTTTGTCAGACACAAGGTTTGAATTATCTTATTAAAAATAACTGTCTGGATTTGGGTTACTAGTTCAAAGAATGTGAACATTCTTACAGTTTTCAGAGCTTTCACCAAACTGCTTTCCCCAGAAGGCATTTTACACTGCGCTTAGAAATAAATGAGGATACCAGTCTTCTTAAAATTTTGCCATTATTGAAAATTTCCTTTTCCAAATGCAATTGGTGTAAATGGTACCTATTGTTAAATCAGGTCCTTTGATCACACCAATGTGAATGTTTTTCCTGTGTTTGTTTAATATCTGTATTGCTTGTCATGTGTATTGTCTGTTGAGATTATTTGATCACAGATGCATGACACATTTTGAGAAATAAGTACAGAAACCTTGATAATTAAAGCTTTGAGGAAAAACAGAAAATAACTCTGAATCTTAAAGACTTTGAGAAAGATACTGACATGAATGAGGCAGTTGGGAAAGAAAGCTACTTTTGTGGAGAAAATATTAAAATGTGTATGTGTCATATTTGAAGTTAGTCACATATACAAGTAGGGCCTTCTGGAGGACGTTTTCTAAACACTTGGGAAAGGGGTAGGATGAGGAAAAGAACTAACAATGGAAACTGAAGGGTCAAGCTGCTAATGGGATAGAAGGAGAAATCTGTGAATAGACCCCCACCATGGAAAATAAAAAGATGAGTAAAAATAGCTTTGGCAGTTTGAAATCACATTCAATTGAAGTGGATTTAGTAAACTGATGGATATGAAAGTAAACCATTGAAAAGCCATTAAAAAAGTGTAACCATTAAAGAAGAAATGCAACCAGTCTTACATATCATAAATTCCCATTTTAAGTTTACATTTTGAAAACATTTAGTAAATTTATAGTGATGTTCAGTCATTATCACAATCCAGTTTTAGTATATTTCTGTCACCCTAAAATATTCCTCATGACCATTGCCAATCACTCACTATTCTCACTCTCAATCCCCATCTACTTT